ATTGTGATAATATCTCAAAATCTAAGACCGAACAATTTTTTTTGACTACGTCATCAAATTCTCTGTAAAAAAGTGTCCATATAATGTCTTAGTTATAATACTCCACCTATAATAATAACCAAGATAATTACATTTGCGGGTTTTACGATATTTTCAATTTTGGCCTCTAACGGAAAAACAAAAGACGATAGCGCTATGAGGTTTTCGGCATTAGCAGTTTTTCGAAAAACGAGATCATGACATGTCAGCTACTTTTCTTCTAACTCTTATAGTTTTTGAGTTAGCCTATTTGGACATCGAATTTGAACCACCCTGTACATACTTTGCCACTTATGTGGGATACCATGAATAGTATATCTTTATTTTAGTCATAATAAACATTTCGATATAGAATTTCAATATGATTGTGTAATCAGAAGTTGTATTTAATGCTGTAATTCAATCGCATTTTCATAGTTTTATAATACTTGATATTGTATCATCTATCAAAGGATGTTTAAATATTATTATCAATGTCATATAAAACCGTGAATTTTGTGAATTGTAATATGTATTATATTAACAAGCAAGTTAGATTTTTATTCTTTATCCATTAAAAAATATTCTAGATTCTAGATCAAAAAAAAAAGAGTACTAACCTCATATTTTTTCTTAAAGGTGATAAAAAAACTTTAGGGATTATTCTAATCTGAAAAAAATAAAAAAAATGTTTTTTTATGAATTCCATAAATATTTTATTAATTAAAGACTAATAATAGTATCACATAAATAAATCAAAAAAAAAATTAATTCCTTTTCGTATCTTCCCTCCTAGATTTATTTTTATTAACATGCGATAAAGCAATACTATGTCCAGTTTTCTTCAAATGATCGAATAATTTATTTTTGGTAGGAAATTCATTCTTACATTTAGCACAACACAAATCAGTATTAATTTCTTTTTTAATTGCACCATTCGAACCGGAACTTTCTTTATTAACTTTGTTTTTCTTTCGTTTTTCTTTTTTAATCTTCACAGGGGCATCTTCATTTTGATCCTTTTCTATATCAATTGAATCATTTGCATTCAAAGTTTCATTTTCCATATCAATTTCAACTTCATATTCAGTTTTAGGAACAAAAACATTTTTATTTTTTTTACTTTTATTTTTCTTTTTCGATTTTTGTGGAATTTCTTCAATTATTTCTAAATCAGATTCAACATCTTCGAATTCTTCCTCATCTTCCAACATAATTTCTTTTAATTTAATAACATTTTCTTTATGTTTTTTACTAGTTTCGTGATTCCTAAAAGCATTTGGATTTTTAAACATTTTATTACAAGCGGCGCAATATAGATTATTTAATTCCTCTTCATTAATTTCATCATCTGTGTCTGTTGAAACATCACCGAATTCTTTTCCTAAATTTTTTTCAAGTTCTTCTAATTCTGATTTAACATTATCAAAATTCATCCATTCGGCTTGGTTACCTGAGTCATTTAATTGTTTAATCCTTTCTAATTTTTTTTCTTTTGTTAATCTTTGTTGTTTTTCCCTCTTTTCAACTTTCTTAGCTTCTAAAATTTTTCTGTAAGCTTGAACCCTTTTATCTCTTTTTCTTACAAAAGCCACTAAATTCCTAATTTCCTCATTTCTTTCTCTCCTCGCTTTCTGTCGAACCTTCTCATTTTCTTTCTCAGCTAATTTAGCAGCTCGTCTAGTTCCAATTCCTCGTATATCAAATGGGTCCAACCAAGTAAACGTTTTTTTAGTGCTATAAGACATCCAATAATCATAAAAAGGACCTACAACATCATCATAATCACTCATAGAGTTCCCAAATTGAGGTAAATTAATAAATTCGTCTTTATTATCCATAAATTTCATATCTTCCTCATTTATCTGACTAAATACGTTTCCATAAACTCCATAAAACCCATCTTTGTCATCCCCATATCCATTAAAACAAGACGTTGTAAAATAAGGGAAAACATCTAAGCTATCGTCTTGATAATCAGAATTGGCCCCATATAAAATCGAATCTCGATGTTTATCATACCAAGCACGTTCTTGACGATCACTTAAAACATCGTAAGCTTGTTGAACCAACTGGAATTGTTCTTTAGCTAGTTCTGTATTTTCCAGGTTTTTATCTGGATGCCATTTTAAAGCTAATTTTCTATACGCAGTTTTAATTTCTCCGTCGTCTGCTTCAGAATCAACTTGTAAAATTTCGTAATAACACTTCATTTTGATTTTGTGCACGTAATGAGGGAATAACCGAACAAAAATTTTATCGCAAAACTTATCTGATGATGGTGTGAAGTTTTTGAGGTTACGTTGGGTTTTCACACGGAAGTTAGCCGCAAATGAAGCTCATTTTAAAGAAAATTATGTGATTTTATGCACTTACCGGTTGAAATGTTGAAGCGGCCACGATTGGAAATGTGCATCAAAGATTTTTATGGGAAATAATTACATTTTCCTTTTGGAAAATGTAAAAGAAAACACTCAGCAAAACAGTTCGGATCAAGTTTGAGATGACAGTTAAAAGATGGCGTTATTAATTATTGCATATTTATTTCCTTTCAAGAAAATAATTAATTTTTTTATAATATTGAAGAGGGTAAAATTATAATTCTTAGTAATATTCAACAAAAAATTTGATTTACGTTGTTAAATGTTAAAAAAGCATAAATTCAAGATGCAGATTTAAAATGATTCTTAAAAGATGGCGCTGCGATCAATGCGATAAGTATCCAAGGGAGTAAATCCTTTTTCGGTCGAATTTAGGAAATCTTCAGGATTTCCATTCTTTCCCATCATTATAATACAATTTGTAAGGCAATTTTCTATGTTTTTATGTTTTGGTATCTAGAATTCTTGCGTAAGTACATCCTTTTCCTTCCTCTCCTCCTCCTCCTTCTTCCGTCATGTTATATGGATCGTCGTCGTAACATTTCTTGATGATTTCATATTGTAAAGTTTTTGGTACTATTAATAAACGATGACCATCGTCATAGTTGTGTAACACTCTATCTTCGATAGTATAATCCTCATATGGATCATACTTAATTAAGCAGAAAATTGTTTTCAGAGTATTATCAGTTTTCTGGGCATTCGTTGAACATCACTGGGTACTGACTGAGAGCATTAACGTACGTTGTTCTGTAGCAATAACAAAGTAAGTGCTGTAACAATGTCTAGTAAGTAAACTCGAAACCTTTTCAATGATAGCCAGTATTTTCAACTCGTAACTGAAATACTTTTGTTGAGCAGGTGTTGTACTCCGACTCATATAGTATAGGATGTAATTTTTGATCATTTCTACTTTTCTCAACAGCATTGCATCACCTCGAACTTGTCCCTAATGAAGGTTGCAACACAGCATTCGAAACGTCAAACACTTTTTCAAAAGATGCACCGGTTAACCCGAAAGTTTATAATTAAAGGTCTACCGTTAGTGCTAGTATTTATTTATTTATTTAAATGGGACGCAAACAGGGTTAACCCCCAGCGAAGCGTCCACTATACAAATTAATGACGTATTGTCGGACTTAATTGTAGATTAATGATTTGAGAAAAAAAAAAACAAGATAAAACAAAACAAAAAAAAAGAAAATATAGTACTAACAAGAAAAATTAATTCTAATGACCCGAGACATTAACGCGCACGCCATGCAAAAACCGCCTAACCGCAGCTAGTGAGGTGTTGAACATATGAATATTTCCACAGTGAGAGTCAAATGAATGCATTAATCTCTGAAGAGGTGAATTGAAGTAGGTATTTGTATTGGAATGATCAAGTCTAAACATCAGACCACCCCTAGTCCGGTAGGGAGGAACGTAAAAACGTAACCCACCAACCAATTCAGGCGAATTAATGAAACCATTGCAAAGTTTAAAAATAAACAATAAATCGTAACACAGCCTCCTCTGTTGCAGTGTCTGAAAACCCTGCACCCTGCACCGCATAAAGTAATCGCAATAAGGTAAATTTGTTTTCCGCAAAAAACGGTGCTGGGGGTTCCAGACGGTGGAGGCATAGCTAAGTACACTGTTCACGTGCGTTAAATACAGCAATCTGATGCAATTAATATTTGTGAAAGGGCGGCAGGTTCGAATCACGAAACCCAACCTCTTCAGAGCGTTGGAAATAACGGATTCCACATGTAAATTAAACAATAATTTGTTATCAAGAGTAACCCCCAGATCGCTAATACGATCAACCGATTGAATGTCCGCACCACCCAGCCTGTAGGGAAAATTCAGAGGGTAGCGATTGCGAGTGAATGTAATTTTATAACATTTATCGTAGTTTAGGAAGAGGCTGTTATCAGCGCAATATTTGTGGAACCGGTCCAGATCTGCCTGAAGTTTAATACAGTCGGAGTTAGATTGATAAATCCAAAAAAATTTTGCAATCGTCAGCATAAAGCAGAAATTTAGATTGTTCAAAACATGCCAGAACATCATTAATGTATGCCAAGAAAAGAATGGGACCGAGGTGGCTACCCTGGGGAAGCCCAGAAGTGACCCGTTGATAAGCAGACACACAATTGCCAATTCGAATCGCCTGGTAACGGTCACTGACGTAGGAACCCAACCACGCTAAAAGACCCGGAGGAATGTCAAGCAGTGACAACTTTCTTATTAAGATGTTGTGATCGATTTTATCGAAGGCCTCTAAAATCGGTGTAGATAGCGTCCACCTGGCAAGATCGGTCGAAAGCACGATGAATAAAATTGGTATAGGTTATTAAATTGGTCTCGAACGATCGACCAGGCAAAAAGCCATGCTGCTCAACGATCATGAAGGGCTTCAGAATATATAATAATTTAGGGTAAATTGTTTTGTCAAAAATTTTTGAAGGTAAAGACAATCATGAAATAGGGCGATACTGGGATACGTCGCAACGATCACCAGACTTGAATACAGGGAATACAAATGCTCTCCGCCATTCACTGGGGAATGCACCGGAGCGTAAGAATAAGGAGAATATAAGAAATAGGGGCTTTGCTAAACCGGTAGCACAGTTTTTAATAAAACAACCCGGCAGTTTATCCGGACCAGCTCCAGCCTTCGCATCTACTTCATTAAGAGCACGCAAAACATCCTCTTCACCAAACCAGGGCGCAAAACCCCCAATGTCAAAAAAACCCCCAATAAAAGGAACGGAGGGGTTATCATCAATGAAAACAGAATTAAGGTAAAGGGCGAATAAAGAACAAATATCTTGAGAATTGTCGGCATGAACACCACAGACTATGGTAGTCCGGTCATGGAGTAGGTCATGGTAGTTGGAATACCGGCGCATACGCCCCTCCGATGTTTAACGAAGGACCACAAGCGATCCGGACACTCAATCAGCTGAGATTGAATTGACGTAATGTAGTTATCGTAATCCGATTTAATGAGGGTTTTGGTACGGTTACGTAAAATCGTGAATGGTAGATAATCAGCCCTATCACCATAAATCTTCCATCTACGATGGAATCTAAGCTTTTCGCGGATAGCTCTCACCGTGGATGCAGAGTACCAGATGGGAAATCTGCGTTTAGGTAGCTGCCGATGCGGAACGTGAGCATCAATAAGGTCGTAAATGGTACTATAAAATACGCTAACTGCATCATCTACACTACGACCCACCAGTCGATCAGACCAATTAAGATCTAGAAGGACGTTGTTAAACGCCTCGTAATCAAACCTCTGTATACAGGCTGTGCTACTAAGAATCAGATCTAAAATTTTGAGATTATCATTACTAATATCATTAAATTGCAATAAATTACAATATCGGTGCGTTTCCAAAAACTCTCCAGAGCGTAGATCACCACCACCAGATGGTACCAAATTCCCATTGTCCGAACGGTACCATACGATATTGGGTAAATTAAAATCACCAACAATTAAGATTAAATTATCAGGGTACGCATCGCGACTCGATGACATTTTACGTAGAAAGACCGAAATAGATTCCGGATCCCCTGGGGGCAAGTAGACACAGCAAACAAAAACACGACCAATCGCGCACTCAACGCTCACCCACACATCTTCCGCGTCGGAGTTAAAACCAGTATTAATTCTAGTTTTAGTTCAAATAGTGCTCCAAAAGTCCACTTATCATATAAACTATAAAGCTCTTTGTTGTATCTCATTCTCCATATCCCAACCTCGCAAATCGCTCCCCAGATTCGCCTTAAAATCCTTCTTTCAAATGCATTGCCCAAGAATGCCTCTCCTATTGAAAGTCCAGCTTTCACATCCGTAGCACAGTACAGTCCTTATCATCGTTTTATACAATCTTATTTTCGTAACTCTATGTACCGCTTTAGCTGTGAATATTGGTAAGAGGGAGAAATAAGTTTTATTGGCTAAATTCTTATCTTATGATAGTTTTCACCCCCCCCTTCCAAATCTGGACAGTCTATATACATTGGTTGCATTTGGTGTCTACAAGATTGGACCATTATCTTGGTTTTGTATACATTGTACTCCATCCCTACTGTCCTAGCCACAAATTTAATCTCCTTACATTTCTTCAATCCTATTAGAGATCCAGATATAATTACAATATCTTCAGCGTATCCCATGATTTATATTGTTTTATATGCTATTATGCAGTTAGCATCTATTTCACATTGTCTCATGACATATTCCTGGACCAAATTGAGTACTGATGGTTCTAAGCTGTCATCCTGCTTCAATTCCTGACTACTTATAAAACTATCTGTAAGCTTATTTTGGATTTCAACTTAATCGACATTCTCACTCATAGTTAGCATAACTAATTTAGCTAGTTTTGCTGGTATTCCAAAACTCGACAAGATCATTCTTATCATCTCTTTTTATGGTATCGTATGCTTGTCGAAAATCGATAAAGCCACATCTGCTTTATGAGAAAGAAGAAAGTGTGAAATGAATCTCGAAAACGAAAGCCTGTTTCTAAATTACTATTAATTTTGATAAATTAATTAAAGAAGGTATTAGGATATACTAATTAATTAAGAATTTCAACAAACACTGTATAAAATAATAATTTAATTACTTAATCTGAATATCACCAAAAGTACTTAAAAATAGCTACTACTAAAAACAATATTTACAATAACTTTTTAGATATCAACTTATGATTACCACTTTCAGATAATTTTTTCTGGTGAATGTTTCTTTGTATAACCATGCTTATTCGAATTAATATAACCGATAGTAAAAAGTTAAAGGCCATAAATATCAACCTTTCTGGCCAAGAAAGAACCGCAAACATTCCATAAAGCCATCTGCTTGTTTGATAATATGTAAAAAAGAAGCTACAACAAAAAAAATTAATCACATAAATACATCAATACAATCAAATAACTTACTTAACGTTGTATGCTAAGCAAAAAATTAAAGCCCCTTTTACTGCATCCTTAAATGAAGGCAACTTTTTGCAGAAGAAAATTTCTGCTAACAAAACGAACAAGATGTTGGTATGAATGCAATGATTTATCCACGATGGAAATAATTCATCAGCTGCGCTTGGTAATACTAATTCCCTATTAATATACCAAACTGTCCAAAAAATAGAAGCCACTAACATTCCAGTTGGAAATACCCAAGAAGTAAAAACGAAACTTCGAATATTTGAGATTACTTTTTGAGTTTTTATTAATGATTTTGTTTGTGGAAAGATTTTCAATAGATGATATAAACACACCATTCCCAAATAAAGAGTTTGGAGAACCTAAAATTAATTAATTAGAAACAAATCTTTAAATTAATTAAATATTAACCAAAATGAATTAAAACTTACAAAGTTCCAACAGGTAAAGTATCGATATTTATAGTTTTGCATATCGGTAACTTGGACGTATTTTGATTTGGATAAATCAATTTGGGTGTTTAAATAAATTGAGGCGAAGGAGTGATGGGCAAATAGTAATGTATGGACCCAAACTTCTAAACATTCCATCTAAAAAGATTCAATTTTTAATTAATTAAATTAATTCATAAATAAAAATTTATAGTTAATAATTTGAATGTTTTAACTTACTTTTAGAGAGTTAGATTTACAAATGAAAGATAATAAATGTGTCATTTTCTTTATATGATGGCAATTGATTAATTGATGTTTTCATATTTTTTCGATTAAGGATCAAAACAAAACTATTAGTATGGAAATTTTTTACATTTATACAATTGTTCTATGAAAACTAATTTTATGAAATCATCATCAATTTTATGGTAAAAAAACGTTTATAATTGCACTTTTTTAATTACTTACTTTGTTTCTATTTTTTGGTGTTTCCATTTTATAAATTAACACGTTTTAATCGATCAACACTAATTAAAAGCAAAAACGGTATAATCGAAAATCTTTAGGGTTTCTTCTTTTTATATACGCACCATACCCAATTACGTAGATTTTATTATCATCAAATAGAAGGATGTAGTCTGTAATCAAAATACGCTTTAAGGTCAATATTTCGTTATTAATTACAGCCATCCTTATTATTATTATTTTTATCGTTATATTCCTTAAAACGATTGGTTTGTTTTTGAAAAATCGCTTCGAGAGATTTGATAAGTGTAGACGCGATCGCATCCGTAAGTGACGCAATTCGAATTTTTATTTGTCTGTTAGGAAATGTGTTGGCGTAGATTTAGACGAAAAAAATAAAATAAAATATTTGGAGTGTGATTATTTTGTTTGTTAAAGATTTATTTAAAAAATCGTTTATAACAAAGAGAGTGATTAAAAAATTCGTACGTAAATTGAAGAAAAGTGTTTATTTATCTTGCAAAAAAAAAACGATAATTGACTCCTTGCAGACAAAATATTCTTGATGAATCATACAAATGATATTTAATGGAACGAAATGATTGCTGCTAAATCATTAAAAAATGTTTAATAATGCATAATTACTTGAATCACTTGAATTAATTAATTACCTGTGGTCTTTGATACTACATATAACAATTTCACATTCGGTTCCTAAACAGGAACTTATTATCTTGATGAACGACTTCAATGCCAAATAGGCAGATAAGCACATTGAACCTCATGGACTGGAATATTTATCACAAACGAAAGGATAATCTCAAAAGAGAAGATTACACTAGTCTAGAAAAAAAAAATTATAAAATGTACATCTGACGCCACTGTATTTTTCTTATGTAGTTTGGTCCCCTAAACTCAAAAATCACATTTAAAATTTTTTCTATGGATACGTTTTGGAGCTATGAATTTTTTTTTTTTTTTAGAGGTACTNGTTTTCTTCAAATGATCGAATAATTTATTTTTGGTAGGAAATTCATTCTTACATTTAGCACAACACAAATCAGTATTAATTTCTTTTTTAATTGCACCATTCGAACCGGAACTTTCTTTATTAACTTTGTTTTTCTTTCGTTTTTCTTTTTTAATCTTCACAGGAGCATCTTCATTTTGATCCTTTTCTATATCAATTGAATCATTTGCATTCAAAGTTTCATTTTCCATATCATTTTCAACTTCATATTCAGTTTTAGGAACAAAAACATTTTTATTTTTTTTACTTTTATTTTTCTTTTTCGATTTTTGTGGAATTTCTTCAATTATTTCTAAATCAGATTCAACATCTTCGAATTCTTCCTCATCTTCCAACATAATTTCTTTTAATTTAATAACATTTTCTTTATGTTTTTTACTAGTTTCGTGATTCCTAAAGGCATTTGGATTTTTAAACATTTTATTACAAGCGGCGCAATATAGATTATTTAATTCCTCTTCATTAATTTCATCATCTGTGTCTGTTGAAACATCACCGAATTCTTTTCCTAAATTTTTTTCAAGTTCTTCTAATTCTGATTTAACATTATCAAAATTCATCCATTCGGCTTGGTTACCTGAGTCATTTAATTGTTTAATCCTTTCTAATTTTTTTTCTTTTGTTAATCTTTGTTGTTTTTCCCTCTTTTCAACTTTCTTAGCTTCTAAAATTTTTCTGTAAGCTTGAACCCTTTTATCTCTTTTTCTTACAAAAGCCACTAAATTCCTAATTTCCTCATTTCTTTCTCTCCTCGCTTTTTGTCGAACCTTCTCATTTTCTTTCTCAGCTAATTTAGCAGCTCGTCTAGTTCCAATTCCTCGTATATCAAATGGGTCCAACCAAGTAAACGTTTTTTTAGTGCTATAAGACATCCAATAATCATAAAAAGGACCTACAACATCATCATAATCACTCATAGAGTTCCCAAATTGAGGTAAATTAATAAATTCGTCTTTATTATCCATAAATTTCATATCTTCCTCATTTATCTGACTAAACACGTTTCCATAAACTCCATAAAACCCATCTTTGTCATCCCCATATCCATTAAAACAAGACGTTGTAAAATAAGGGAAAACATCTAAGCTATCGTCTTGATAATCAGAATTGGCCCCATATAAAATCGAATCTCGATGTTTATCATACCAAGCACGTTCTTGACGATCACTTAAAACATCATAAGCTTGTTGAACCAACTGGAATTGTTCTTTAGCTAATTCTGTATTTTCCAGGTTTTTATCTGGATGCCATTTTAAAGCTAATTTTCTATACGCAGTTTTAATTTCTCCGTCGTCTGCTTCAGAATCAACTTGTAAAATTTCGTAATAACACTTCATTTTGATTTTGTGCACGTAATGAGGGAATAACCGAACAAAAATTTTATCGCAAAACTTATCTGATGATGGTGTGAAGTTTTTCAGGTTACGTTGGGTTTTCACACGGAAGTTAGCCGCGAATGAAGCTCATTTTAAAGAAAATTATGTGATTTTATGCACTTACCGGTTGAAATGTTGAAGCGGCCACGATTGGAAATGTGCATCAAAGATTTTTACGGGAAATAATTACATTTTCCTTTTGGAAAATGTAAAAGAAAACACTCAGCAAAACAGTTCGGATCAAGTTTGAGATGACAGTTAAAAGATGGCGTTATTAATTATTGTATATTTATTTCTTTTCATGAAAATAGTTAATTTTTTTATAATATTGAAGAGGGTAAAATTATAATTGTGAATAATATTCAAGAAAGAGTTTTATTTATGTTGTTAAATGTTAAAAAAAATAAATTCAGCTGCAGATTTAAAATGATTATTAAAAGATGGCGCTGTAATCAATGTGATAAGTCAAGGTCCGTTGAGTAAACATCCTGTATTAGGTCTCTATAAAACTCCCTATAAACACTGTTATTATGAATGTATCCCCCCGCAAAGGCCTTGTTGTGACCAGCACCAGGGATATTTGATAGGAGAACCCAGGAGAACCACAAGGAGAACTTAGGACTGATTGTATGAAATCCCACCGTAAGATGGCACTAGCGTCTATACTGAAATAATTTAATTAAACTAACAATTTTATTATTAATAGTCGGAATGATGAGAGACAGCAATAACAATTATTACCAGTATCATTCTTTTAATTTAAAAAGAATAGATTCCAATTTGTGGTATATTTTTAAATTTGCCGCTAACTTCAACTTTAAAAATTATGCATTATTTGACAGGCATCTGAGGAATTCCCAACCAGTCGGAATGTTAATTGGAGCCACATAATGGCTCCAAACACTTTCCAAGCAGTTATTCTGTCGTTGGAGCTTTTATATATAAACCCAATCCACCCTGTATTCTAGTGGTTCGGATCTTAGTTGAATAATTCCAAAATATCCCCAACAGATGGCGCCACATGCCATCTATGTAATTGTCATTTCTATGTTTTTATTTATACAGTGTATTTCACTTAAGAAGCAATACACAAAAATATAAAGATATTAAAAAAAATGCGAGATAATCGTAAAGAATTCGAATTGTTTTAAAATTAATAAAAATTAGGTTAGAATTGATAAAAAATCGAATTAAAATTTTATTATTTTAAGGTTATCCAACTTGACTCGGTTACCATGGTGATTAAGATCCAAATATTGCAGTTGCTTGTCAAAATTGACGTTGAATTTAAGTTTTTTAATGAAAAACATAATTAATTGGATTTAAAAGTTGTATTTAATTCAAAATGGGTAAATGGATGAAATTATAAGCAAGGTAAGTGGACTCAATCAAAAAAAAAAAAAAAATTTAGATCAATAATTAAAATGTACAAGAATTTAGGGTTAAATAACAATTAAAACTAGAACTAACACTAGACCTAGAACTGGAATGTTTTAGGTTTAGCCTGGCGTCTTAGAGGAATGTTTATAGATAATTTGTAAAGAATTAAATTCCCTTTCTGACAGGCTAAAAAAATTTTAAACGCCCCATGTTTAAAATATGGGTCTACTTCCGGTTGATCGGAAGTGGCGGCCATATTAGATTCTTTTCAAAATAGATTTATGATGTATTCTTTATTAAAAAACCTTTACAATGAGTTCAAACATGATGCATTTATCTCGAAAAACAACAAAGTTGCAATAAAAAATATTAAAGTTGGCAACATTGAAATTAGCAACATAATTTTTAAATATTAATATCAACCTTAATTTTTCATTTTTTATTGTATTTTTGTTTTTGTGATAAATTCTAAGACATTTTATAAAAATTAAGAATTTGTCAAAATGACATTGACATTTCAAACCGGAAGTTGCTTATATCTCGAGTAATATTGGAATTAAACGTATCATGTTTGGACTCATATTAATAGTTATTTAACCAACAAGTCTATTAATGAAGGCGATTAATTATCGAGATATTTTAACGCGTGAGCGAGCGAAGCGAAGCGAACGCGTTAATTATTGAGATAATTAATCGCATTTTAATATACGAGTTAGTTACAATATTTTTCCGTTGACCGTCTTTTCAACAAAATAGAGAAAATCCATCGTTGAAAAATCTCCCAATTCTGTCACTGGCAAAATAACCTCACTTTTAATGTGTCATAATTTATTTTTGTAGTCTTACCGAATAGATATAGTGGTCGGTTGGGTCGGTATTACAAATTTCATTGGAGAATATTTATTAAATTGACTACTATTTAGTTCGGTCGGACTTTCTTAAAATCGTTTATTAATAGAAAATCGTTTATTAATAGGTGTCATTAATGAATGATTTTGTATACATTTATAAATCATATAAATACACGGTCGACGGAAAAGGATTTTTCACGACGATTACAAATATGTCAAAATTGAGGTTGACATTTTAAATGTGAAGTTAGTTATCATATGTTAGACAAATGGACAACTTCATGGTGTTCTTTTATGATGTATTCTTTATTGGAAAAAAACATTAAAATGAGTCTAAATATGATGTTGCTAAATATCACTATGTTGTACTACTATATCTTTATTGCACTAAAACTAGAACTAACGCTAGACCTAGAACTAGAAAAATTCGACTAGATACTTTCTAGTTCTAAGTCTAGTGTTAGTTCTAGTTTTAATTGTTACTAAGCGTTAAATTGTTGTCTATTTTTACTGAAATAGAACTAACATTAGATCTAGAACTAGAATCATTCGGGTTTAGCCGCACGTGTCTAAAGACGGTTAAACCCGAATGTTTCTAGTTCTATATCTATTTAGTGTTCGGAATTCGAGGTACTTGACGTTCTCGGATATCTAGATTCATGTTATTAGTTAAATTTTCAATTAACCGTTTCAATACTGCTGGGATATATTAAATATATACATCCCAAAGAATGTTTGAAAAATACTGGATGGGATTTGTTAGTAGGTACTTCTGGCTTCACTTTATGTGTGAGTCACATTTAGTTTAAATTACGAACACGTGTGGCTCCTATCAGCAGATTTTACACAATTTTTTAGTATGAAACGTCCACTGACTGAAAAAGAATTAGTTGAGATTGCGGAAAATTTGTCGGATATAGAGGCTGATCCCTACTATGACAATGATGATAGTATGGATGAGGACTACGTTTGTTCCAATGAGTCTGAAAGTTCAACAACTGACGAAGAATCAAAGCCCGAAGATCAACACCACCAAGAAAATGAAAGCAGTGATAGTAACGAAAGTGACGATCATGGTGTTCCAGTTGTTTTACAACCTACCGCGAATCCCGGTCCTATTTCAAAATTTATTTGGAAAAGGAATATCTTGTCTTGAAATGCTAGAAAAACCAAAGAAGAAAGCGATTCAAAAATTCACCAGGAGAAATCAACGTAATTCTGGATGTGCGCTGGTTATGTCTTATAACCGTGTGCCATCAATTCATCTGTATTGGTCGAGAAATAAATCACTTCAGAATCTAGCAATAACAGAAGCCATATCCAGGGATCGGTTTATGCTTCTCATGTCGAAACTTTATTTCAATATTCCAGAAAAGCAGGTTTTATCCTGCTTGAAGTACACCTTTTTAAAAACAAGAACAGACAGTACATTTCAATTCATCTATGAATCGATGACGAAATTCAAGGAAAGGTCTAGTCTAAAATAGTATCTCCCTTTGAAGCCTACTAAACGAGGGATAAAGTTATGGACGTGACACTGTAACAGGATATGTCTATGATACAAATATATATGTAATATCTAGGCGAAAGGATTATACTAAAATTGGCCGAAACTATAAAATATCTAAAAGTTTCTAGTTAAGGGTCTACTGGTAATGCTGGTATTAATTCTAGTTTTAGTTCAAATATTGCTCCAAAACCCCACTTAGAAGTATTGCAATATAACTCGGTTTTAACATCATTTTGATAAATTTTAAAGATAGGGGCTTCTGGCAAAATGAAGGAGAGGTTCTTGAGTTGCTTTTGAGTTGTTCCAAAACAGAAATGTTCATCTTCTTTCAACAAATCACTTAACGGCTTGGCTATCTGAATAATTTTTGGCAAATTTTCATAAATAACCAGTAAGACCCTTTTGTGACAGCTTCTATTTTTCTAGGAGACGGTCGAATGCATTGATGCATTGATGTCATAACCTCTATTTCAGACTTTAAAAATTCCCTTTTTTCCAATTATTCTCTATTCCGTGATCTTCAGGAACCTCTAAAACTTTTTTCAATCTTTCCAACGTCCGCATCTCGTTCTCAGCTAAGATTATGATATCATTCATCTATGTTAAAATGATTTAATCTTTTTATCAAATCATTGAAGGTGTTGTTGTGCATACAACAACAATAAACAGTATGTTTAACAATACAAAAATAATAATAATAATACTAACACAGTAGGGACCCGCTCAATAATGGGTCCAAACGAAAACCATATTAATAGATGGTTATGAGAAACAATAACATTTTTATATACAGGGTCATCCACGACGACCGTCCATTAGAACTTTACAGGGTTCTGGCCAAAATACAAATTTGAAAATTCACATTTAAGTATTATCAATTGCGTTCTCTTCGACTAAAATATTTTCAAATATCTAACACTTCCGGTTATACCGGAAGTCGCTACCTACTTTATTTTTTTAAATGGAACATCCTGTATATTTTTACATATTTGGATTTGTCTGTTTTCAAGGTTTATGAATGACTTTACTTTTTGCAATTTGATTCGGCCATTCTCGAGTTATTCGAATTTTTCTAGAAAAATCTGCTCCAGCAGACATTTGTTCAAAAAATCAGAGAACACTCGATTTTTGGGGTATCAATTTAGGATTCAGAACATGCTTAAGCAACATGATGGAGTATGTTTTGGTGCCGAGTATGGCTGTCTAGAACGTTTGGTCACTTTACTATGGCACGTTACCTTTTCGAAATTTGGAAGTACCATAACTTCATTTCTTTAAATGGCACCCCCCATATTTTATTACTTAGTCGTCTTCGGTGTCTCATTTTACATCTTTTATATCCCATATGTCCTATACCTAACATTTATAGTTTGGAAGATAATTAGGGTTTTTTGAAAAATGCACACATATCATATCGATATTTAACCTAGTGTGCCATGAATACCTAGTGTGACCTAGTGTATAACCATATGAACTGGCCTTTTGAAAATTTGCAGACTTC